CAACCTCAAAGTCCTTGGGCTTAAGGGATTCTCTTGCCTCAGCCTCCCTAGTAGCTGGGACTATGGGCACCCGCCACAATAAGTAGTTACGGTTCTGTATTTAAAGTTCATCCATGTTGTAGCGTGCATACTAGTTTCATTCCTTTTTAGGCTGAATGCTATATGTATAGACCATGTTTTGTTTATCCAGTCATCTGGGACAATTGAGTTGTTCCCAACTTTTGGCAATTATGAATAATGCTGTTCTGAAGGTTGGTGTACAAGTAACTGTTTGAATCCCTGTGTTTACTCTTTATGGTTATATACCCAGATGTGGTTTTGTTGGATCATATGATAATTCTGTTTTAACTTCTACAGTACCTCCACAGTATTTTTCACAGTTACTATACTATTTAATATTCACACCAGCAGTGCCCAGGGGTTTCAGTTTCTTTGCATACTGGGCAGCACTTGCTTTTTCTATTTTTGTTTGTTTTGTTTTGTTTTTTATAATAGCCATTCTAATGGATGTGATTTGGTATCTTTTGGTTTTTATGTGCATTTCCCTACTGATGAATGATGCTGAGCATCTTTTCCTGTGCTTATTGGCCATTTATATGTTTTTCTTTTTGAGAATTAACTTTTCTAGACCTTCACCAATTTTTGAATTTCATTGCTTTTTGTTATTGGGTTGTAGGAGTTTTGTATATACATGTATTCTGAATATTAATCTTTTACCTATTTTTATTAAAAAATTTTTTTATAGTGATGGGAATTACTTTGTTGCTCATGTTGGTTTCAAATTCTAGCCTCAAGCAATTCTCCTCAGCTTCTCAAAGTGCTGGAATTACAGGCATGAGCCACTGCACCCAGCCCTGGATATTAATTTCTTACCAGATATATGATTTTTAAATACTGTCTTCCATTTTGTGAGTTGCCTTTTTATTCTCTTCATAATGCCTGTATGGAAGTTCTTTTTCTTTTTTCTTTTTTTTATGTTTAGCAAGCCTGGACCAAGTTCAAATCCACCAGCCCTGGGCACGGGACCAGTGCTCTAACCATTGAGCAATGGATGCCCAGCTGGAGGCTTTTAATTTTGATAAAAGTTCAGTTTATAGTTTACTGTTGCCAGTGCTTTCTCTTGTTTGTTTTATATTATTGAATCTGAAGGTTGAGCACATTTTTTACTCCAGGTTTGTTATGTCCAGCTCTGGGTATTGGCTATTGTCAAAATATATAATCCCTCTTTGTGTTTGTTTGTTTGTTTTTAGATAATAAACATGTGTTTATTTCTTTTGTAACTTTTAAAATGTGAACATTCTGTAATTCAGCCAGTTTTTACTTCCAGGTAACTTCTTCATTGGGTTTCAATTCCCTTTTATATAATTATTATTTTTTTTTTTTTGAGACAGAGCCTCAAGCTGTCCTCCTGGGTAGAGTGCCGTGGCATCACAGCTCACAGCAACCTCCAACTCCTGGGCTCAAGCAAGTCTCCTGCCTCAGCCTCCCAAGTAGCTGGGACCACAGGCGCCCGCCACAATGCCTGGCTATTTTTTGGTTGCAGCCATCATTGTTGTTTGGTGGGCCCGGGCTGGATTCGAACCTGCTACCTTGGGTGTACATGGCTGACGCCTTAGCCACTTGAGCCACAGGCGCCGAGCCCCCTTTTATATAATTCCATAGGGACAAGTATATGAACCCAGTGGTCACGCACAATTAGAAGTAAGTTCACCATGATTGCTGAGACCCTGCTGCCAACAACAACTCCATGGCCAAGATTGCAGGAATGAGCTCATACCCC